TAAACGTTGAAAAAAAAAATTAAAAAAAAAAAATCCTAAGCATGTGTACAGCTAATAATAGATTTTTAAAATGTATGAAGCCCAAACTGATAGAACTCCAAGGAGAAATAAATCTGTAATTATACTTGGGGATTTCAGCATCCTTTCTCAATTACTGATAGTACAACTAGTCATAACATAAGTAAGGATATGAGGACTTGAACAACATTTTCAACCAACCTAATCTAACTGACATCAATAGAACACTTAACCCAACGACCACAGAATTTATCAAGATAACCATATTCTGTCTAGAAAACAAATCTCAGTATATAAATTTAAAAGGATTCAAATAACACAAGCATGTTCTCTAACCACTGTGAAATTAAATTAGAAAGCAATAGCAAATTAGTGATAATTCCAGCTATGTGGATGAAAATCAACTGCCTTATGCTAAGTGGAAGAAGCAAGGCTCAAAAGACTATGTGCTGTATGGTTCCACTTACATGACATTCTGGAACTATCAGCACCAAAATCTGACCAGTGTTTGCCAGGGACTCACCTTGAGTGAGCTTGATTCCAAAGGAACTGGTGGGAATTTTCGGGGGTGATGAAACTCTTTTTTCTATCTTTCTGTCTTTGTATCTTTTATATCTTGTGGTTGCCACACGATTGTGTACATTTGTCAAAAAACAGACTGTATACTAAAAATTATAAATTTGCTGTATATAAATTGTACCTCAATTTTAAAAATGAAAGGATGTCAATAGCATTCATATACACAAATTGAAGATATAATGAATGAAAAATCGCATTTACAATAGCAAAAAAAAAAAAAGATAAAGTATTTAGGAACAAACTTAACAAATATTCTATGTAAAAAAACTATACACACTCTTTAAAGACACAAAAGTAAACCCAAACAAATGAAATGATATCCTTTGTTCTTGATTAGAACATCTCAACACTATCTCAAGATGTCAGTTGTCTGTAATTTACAAGCTTAATGCAAATCCAGTACAAATCCCAGTGAGCTTTTTTTTTGACACTGATCATAAATCAGAAGTCAATCCTAAAGTTTATAAGATAAGCACATAAGAATAGCTAGGAAAACAGCAGTAAGGAAGAGCTCTTAGGGGAGCTAGCCCTGATATTAAAATATATAACAAAGCCTCTCTGCAGCAGATGAATAAACATGTCAATGGAATAAAAAAGAAGTTCTAGAAACAGCCAAAGTACGTATAAAAATC